TGCCCATGTACTGGTGCCTTGCAGTCCGAAACTTGTGGCCACAAGAAAATGAAAATGAGGCCGAAACGTCAAACGCCGGTCCTGCCGTTGATAAATTAGATCGGCGGTAGCGGTTTTGGTTCGCGCCTCCAGAATTTGAGGTGTCAGGCCTGCGGCCCAGGTGCCCATGTACTGGTGCTCCCAGGGAACCCTTCCCCTCAGAACTCATATAGTGCTTGGGTATCCATTTTGGAGAACGTAGGGCCTCGTTAGACACTCCTTACGGTTTCCTTGAAATTGCGGGGGTGTTTCCTTGTGGCTTCCCCGCGGCCGTTTTCATACGCAAATTAGCGGCGCCCGGGGTCTGTCGTCCTTGGTCCAGCTTCTTTGTCCGTGTGGAGGCTGCGCGGTCCAGCGACGCGAGGCGGGAAACGGCAGTCTGCGGGCGGCGCGAGGAGAAATTTAAACCCGAGAGCGTGGGCATTCGAAATTCGAATTTTGAATGCCAGCTTCGACAGCGACGACGACGTGTGGCTGGCGGGACGACKGCGTCGTGCTGCRGAAAAGGGCCCGGCGGAGGCGGAGGCCACGTCCAGAGGGCTCCCTCATCTACTCCTGCAGTGTGTTGTGCTTCCATTGCCGTGGACCTTTGCGCACGTCGACTGCGCGTTGCTCTTCGCTTCCGTGCGCGGGGTTGAGAGTGGAGAAAAGCTGAAGGGCATGTGGCGGCTGTTTCTCCGAACACACAAGACAAACCTGGAGACGCTCCCGCAACAGTTCACCGCTGTCTGCATACTGCACAACTTACTGATCGACGCGGGGATCCCCTTCGACGAGAATCTGTTGTGGGAGGTCGACGGTAATGGTGTGCGACGACGAGTGGACCTGGGGATCGACGAGCCCCTCCAGCCTGTGTCGATGTTAACGTCGACCCGCGAAGCCTTAGCCCTGAGGCATGCTTACGCGGAAAGGATGAAACACGAATGAGTCGTGTATTATTCATGGACGACAGCACATGAAGATGGCTTAATGGCAGCAATGGGCGGACACCAGATTGGTCTTTCCGTCCTCCCTTGATTGGGTCGCTGTCGTCTATACCCCGACGGGGTTGGTGGTTTCTGTGGAGAGTCGTCATTCGGGTGGTGGAAGGCAGCGTGTGGAAGTGCGATCTTGGTGCAATGGCCGGAGGGCAGAATCGCGGTCTCGTCGGCCGTCGTCTTGGTTGCTAGCCCTGTTAGGCGTCGTGGTCGGTGGCTTGCGTCGACTATTGTGTTTGGTTGGACTTCGCAGTCCACGGATGTGCGTTGCGTTCCTTTTTTTTTTTTTTATGTTCAATTTTTTTTTGTTTGATGCCGTTCATGAGGAGTAGTGCGGAACATGCTCATTGYGGGTGTGAGGTGCGCCTTTTTCGAGAAGAGTTAGCGCATTTGGAGGTCAAAGGTATGGTGTTCATTCGGGTGGGCATGAAACTTTCCCCCCATTTCGGTTTCGAAAAAGAGTTTTGCAGTTCTGTAATTTCTTCTGCGACGTTGCAAGCACTTTTGACAGTCGTTTTCGCCCATTTCCATCGTGTGTTGGCATTGGGTGTGCGCGTGTTTCATTGCGTCAATGTCGTGCGTTGGCATTTGTGATTCATTTAATGTTCTGCGGCCAAGTATTCCCTCAACTGATGAGTGCAACACTAACACATGCATTGTATGCCACTGGGATGATTCTGGAATGCAAACACACAAAAAAAAGAACAAAAATAAAGAAAAGGGAAAAAAAAATTTAAAAAGGTCTTCGAAGCGACGATCGAAAATGGCACGTGCAAATAAAGATGAGATGTGTGAATGTGCATCGAGCACTGCATGGACCGTCAGGTTAGGAAAGAGAGCAATCACACACTGCAAACACACGAAACATCCGTCCCGAATCGAAGACATGAACAAAAAAAGGTGCGCTTCCAGCGCGTTAAGAATGCACATGAAGCATGCTGCGCCGACAAGGAAACGTGAAACAACATCGCGGAAACCTAACTTTAATAATCCGCTCCTACAATGTATTGCAAACATTGCCTCGCACCGTCAAATGTACACTGCGAACTGCCAAACTAAATGAACAAGCAAAGGCCACCGACGAGCGAAGTTGCATCTACCACCCTGCCAGTGGACAGCCGAAAACGGAGGGCATCTACACACACGACAGACACGCTGTGCTCGTGCGGAACGAAGGGAGAGACCAACAACAATCTGTGTCGCGATGCGCCGTCACCTTTCCCGCCGTCCACGTGCCATCACAAGCGACAAGCAAACCAAGGAAATCTAGCACAACACCACCCCTCCACCCCCTACGCGTCGTTTTCGCCATTGTCGTCACCGTCCTCCTCCAAGGGGCCCGAACCCAACCAATCCCTCTTCTTCGCGTCCTCTAGCCCCGTGATGCTCGCGTCGTGGCCGAACGTGATGCCGCAGGGAGCCCAATCGGGGATGTACTTCGGGTACTCTCCTAAGGTGGCGTTCGCCTTCCCCAGTCTCTCCATGACGACGTTCGTCGCTCGGATGACGGACCTCCGATGATCGAAGGCGCGATGTATCGACGCGATCAGCGTGGGCTTCGCGACCAGCTGCGCGAAGTAGAAGGCTTCGTAGTGGCAACGATGATCGTCTCCCGCCATGCGCATCAACCACATGCAGGCAGCCAACAACAGCCTGAAGCAATCCGCGATCCTCAACAGACGACCGTGCGATATGAACCCGCCGTCGACGTTGCCACCCATGTGCACGGCGGCGTGAAATGCATGCGCGACGCACACGACGGTCGACTCCTGGTACRCAGCCATGTCGTCGTCCGCCGGCCTGTCGTCGATGTTCACCCCCGCAAACCACAGTGGCAAGTCCATATTGAGGTCGATCGTGTGCGCGCAAACGGGCGCGCTCACCACGTTGCTCCACTCCTCGTCGTACCACATAACTCGAGCAAGGTCCGTCGCCGCCGACTCCAACGCGTACTGGAAAGCGAGATTGTATCCGCGGGGGCAGTTCCCTGACTTGAACACCCACCCATGCAAGACGCGCAAAACTATGTTCTCTGCAGCCCCCCCGCGGATGATCGCTTGCTGTAGTTGAGCGGGATCAGCAATCCTCGTGAGGGTCGTCGCGGATTTTGGCATAACGACGCTCCTGGACACGACGGGCGCTTGCACCCTGCTGTTGATGGCCTCGAAGTGCTCCCGCGTTCGGTGGACGATGTCGTAGAGCCGGCGCCCCTCCGCCGTTGTCCAGAACGGTTTGTTGTCGACCCACAGGCGGGCACGGTCGGCAAGATCTCTCGCCAACCCTCCCCTCCGCTCCCGGCTTAAAAGGGGGTCGTCGTCCTCTCTTTCGCCCTTATTCTCGCCGCGCGCAACCTCCCGCTCCACAACAGGAACCTCCTCTCTCGCCCCCGCCACGACAGCGACATTGCCCAAGGACCCCTCGCCTGCACCAGCGCTCGCCACGCGCGCTTCTTGCTAGGCCACCTCGCCTCCCCCGCGCTCGGTAGACCCTCCATCTGCAGCCGTGTTGCCTGGTCGGGGCTGTGACGGCGTGGACGGCATGGCGCCTTGAGGTGGCCTTTCTTCATGCGCGACGTGTATCCTTACTCCCGTCATCGTGGCACCTTGCATTGCATTTCGCTGCCTGCGGCTTTCCAATGGCTCATGGTCCTCGTCGCCGACGTCGACGACAACCTCCTTAGCTATTGTGTTGCTTTGCCGACAACCTTGTTGCCCCTCTGGGGGGGGCGTGAGCAATCTCCTCGACGCGGCCTGATCATTCTTCGCTTGAAGACAGCTGCCCCGGGGTGCCGCCACGGTGTCATCTGCTACTTCCTCCTCTGTCGTGAACATGTCGTCATCTTCGTCTTCGTTCGATGCCGCCCAATACCGCCCTCGCCGGACAGGCGCGCTTGGTGATGGCTCTTCTGAACAGAGCCTCTTCGGCTTGGGGACATGCCGCCGACCCCTTGCCCACCCCTGGGTGTCAGCAGGGACGTTCTCCTGCTTCTTGCCACGGCCAACGCCTCGCGTAGACATGATTCCCGTGCACTAGTGTCGCAGTGGTTGGCAAGAGCGCTCCGCGGCGAGAACAAGATCTTCGGTGGTGAAAGACGCCGCACCTCCGAACGACGTAGAGTTGCCCACGACGATAAGTACAGTCTGCTCCGCGTGGACGTCCTTGTGCTTGGCAGATGATCATCGGGCGCGTTCGACGACGACAGTGCAGAAGTCCCACTCGTGGAGCGCGAAGACAGGGGCGACGATGCGATGGCTGTGCGGTGCGTCGATGAAAGAAGGCAGGTGGCGTCCCGCGCGGATTTCGTCGCTGGTCACCGTGTGCACCGACCTCGAGTACTCGATATGCCGCAAGGACAACTTAATGCTGGAGCAGGCGCAGGCCCGCCAGAAACATGGAGCAGCTGGACGGGCCCCGAGCACGATTCTTCGCCTGCCGTAGTCGTCGACAGCGACACGTGTGACAGCAACTCACGAGACCTCCTGCACGCGCACGCCCTTCAGCTTTTGCGACGCCCACCGTCCCCGCAGCGCGTACAGACCCTTCCACGCTTGCGCAGGCGCACATCCATACAACACCAGGGGCCGATGTGAATTTCCTCCATAGCATTGCCCCCACCAACACCCCCAAAC